AGATTTAGCAGTTTGGAAACCCAATGGGAGTTGCTATGAGTTGGAACCAACTCAATGGCAGTGAGTTTATTTTTATTTTTATTTTTTTTAATATTTAAGAAGCAGCAAGTAGGCCAGTGTGCCTCAGCAGTGTGAACAAGGAAAGTATAGTACAGATGAAATCAGAGAAGTAGTTGGAGGTGGGGATCATCATAACATGCAAGGACTTAAAGGGCATGGTGAGGATTTTACCATCTGTGAAATGAGAATTTTTAACAAACGAATGACATGAGTTAAATTTTAAAAGGCTCCCTTTGGCTGTGCATAAAGGGCATGGATGCAGCATCTTTTGACTTCCTCTAACTTCACAAGAGGAAGACAGAATCACCATCAGCAATCCAAGGCTTATTCCTGAGAGGCCAGACATGTCACCACCCTCTAGCCTTTTACCAATTCTAACACTAACCGTCTCCCCCAAGGCACTCACCACTTCTCTGCTGGGTTTGATGATTTGTTGCACCGGCCACATAGAACTCATAGACAATACTCATGATTATGAGGTTTATTTTGGAAGTAACAAGCTGCAATTCAGGCTCAGGAACATGCTCAGTTATTCAGTCAGGATACTTTTCCCTCTGCTGTGCCCTCAGACATGCCTCTCTGGCCCTTGGCCTCTCAGCCTGGCCTCTGCCCAGCTCAGGCAAGTGTTACAAATCTTCTAGCTCTGCCAGTAGGTACACCTATGTGCACCCTGCTCCATCAGCAAGCCTCCCAAGGGCACTCAGTTTTCTCGCACTGTCAGTCAGGTAAGCCTGCTTCTCTCTCTCATGCCTCTGGTTCCACTGTGATTTTCTCTCTGCCAGGGCATCTCTGCCAAGGAGGTCCAGCACAGGGATTTCAGGTCCATGGATGCACTCTACTTTACCTCTTCTCTCTTGATGGCAGTGAGTTCTACCCCTCTGCAAAAATGACAAGGAGGCCACATGTTCTGACCTCCTCTAATTCCACAAAGGGAAGACAGGGTTACCAGCAGTAACCCAAGGCCTATTACTGCCAGGCCAGACATGTTGCCTCCCTCCAG